GGGTATTTTTTTTTTTTTTTGCTGACCTAGGCCTAGCCTAGGCCCTAATGTGTAGGCTTCTTAGGCCTAGAGATTTCAAAAATTACATTGGTGTCAAGCCAAATATTTTACAAAGGCTATAACAGACAATAATTTAATAAGCATTGTGGTTCCGTAGGCTAACTGCTGCAGTGCTAGGCTAGGCCTAGGTCAGGTAGGCCTAGCCATACTTACTACTACTAGTACTAGCTAGGGGTCTAGGCCTAGGCCTAGTTAGGTAGTGCTTAGGCTAGGCCTAAAACATCTGCCAATTGAAGCATAGGTCGTAACCTATTATTTTTCTTCATAGTACTTTATTATTATCATATTTAAAACATTGTTTATTATCTAAAAAGAACCAAATAAAAACATGTACGCCTACGATCAAATTGTCCGCGATTTCTGTCAACAAGCACAATGTGTGAGGGAATCTATTTTTTTATGCAGAAAAAGAAAACACACTTGGTGGCGCACTTTATATCTTGTTCCCTGTGCTGAAGATGAAAAAACGATCGTTTTTCCTCTATTAATCGGCATTTTTTAGTCAATTTTCAGCACTTTTTTACCAAAAAAAAAAAAAAAAATGAGAGGCGGCTAGAAAATCAGGGTTGGGCGGTGACGCTAAACAAGTATTTTTTTTTGGGGCTAATTTTGAAGCAAGTACATTCTTTAGGCGTTTACATACTGTATCTTCAAAAGACTGTTTAGTAGTTTCCTGTTTCATAAACCACACAACATAAAATGTTCACCAACCACAACTTTTCATAACAAGGTCATAGCTAAGCATAGTTTTAGTGTTTATTATGACAGAACCAAAACATTTAAAAACACACAACCAACACATTTAAAAACACACAATTTTTCAATGGTTAAAGATTAGAACAAAAAAACAATAATTAAAAATCCTTACCATTGGAGGATCCTACCACCCCACCCCCAACCCAAAAAAAAAAAAAACCCAACAGCAATCCACTACCTACTTTCGTGATGTGACTATAAAACCAGGGTCTAACATGAACCAGATTTATAGTGATTTAAACTAGGAATCAACTCTGAATGTTGGTATTGGAAGACAAACTCATCTCAACCACCAGACTACAGCCCGACCTCAAAAACAAGTGTTGCCTGAACACTGCTGAAAAAAAAATAAATAAATATAAATCATATCAAATAAAACCTGGATTAGTTAACTTACCTAATTGCCTTAGAGCATTGGCACGCACAATATCTGAAACTGAATCACTTTTACTAATGTCTTCATACGCTTCCTTTGCTGCCTTGTACTTGCCCTAATGAGGAAAAGCTGTCTCTTATACACATCTATCTTATTATTATTATTATTATTATTAAACCTCACTCTGCACATTTACATGTTAAAAGACAAATGGCAGAAAATATGTCTTTTGCTTTCAAAATGTGTTAAGAATTGTATAATTTTTACATATGATCTCCCAATTTGTTTAAAATCTTTCATTTCAAAGTAAAATTTATACAAAATTTTGTATCTATTCGAACATAATTGTAGTAATATCAATCTAGCGGCAACGACGGTTGGTTGCTAACAGGATCTCCATCACATGTATCATGAGGAACGATGATTTAAAAGCCTCTTGGACACACTGAAAATGAATGGTTGCATGGAATTGGAGCACTGCAGTTAATTCAATGCGCTGAGTTGCCAAGATTGACTTCCAGAAACAAGTGAGAGCATGCTTTGGGTGTCGTCTCTTATACACATCTATG